AAGTCATCTTGTGGGCAAGTATGTGGTGCTCCAAGGAGAGATTGCAAGCATACATGCACTGCTGCTTGTCATCCATCGACACCCTGTCCTGATCTAAGATGTGGTTTCCCTGTGACAATCACTTGTTCTTGTRGACGAATAACTGCAACGGTCCCTTGTGATGCTGGAGGGGGCTTTCACGTGGATACCATATTTGAAGCTTCTGTTATTCAAAAGTTGCCAGTGCCTTTTCAACCTGTTGAAGCAAATGGCAAGAAGGTCCCTCTGGGCCAGAGGAAGCTCGTTTGTGATGATGATTGTGCTAAGATGGAGCGCAAACGGGTCCTTGCAGATGCTTTCAATATTACTCCCTTAAACTTGGATGCCCTTCATCTTGGTGAGAACTCCACTGTTTCTGATCTGCTTGCAGACCTGTTTAGGCGAGAYCCAAAATGGGTATTGTCTGTTGAGGAGAGGTTCAAGTTTTTGGTGCTTGGGAAGACTAAAGGAGGTACCACAAGTGGTTTAAAGGTTCATGTTTTTTGTCCAATGCTGAAGGAGAAGAGAGATGCTGTAAGGCAACTTGCRGAGAGATGGAAGCTTTCAGTTAATGCAGCAGGGTGGGAGCCAAAGCGGTTCCTAGTGGTTCATGTTACACCCAAGTGTAAAGTACCAGCTCGAGTTCTTGGAGCCAAGGGTTCTGTTCCTTTAAACGTCTCCCATCCATTGGCCTTTGATCCCTTGGTTGACATGGATCCAAGGCTTGTTGTGTCTCTTTTGGATCTTCCAAGGGATGCCGATATAAGTGCATTGGTCTTGAGGTTTGGTGGAGAGTGCGAATTAGTTTGGTTGAATGATAAAAATGCTTTGGCTGTGTTTAGTGATCCTGCCAGGGCAGCAACTGCTTTAAGGCGGTTAGATCATGGTTCAGCATATCATGGTGCTTCTATGGTTCTTAACAATGGTGGTGCATCAGTGTCATCTTCTGKTGCCAATGCATGGGGAGCAACAGGAGTTGCCAAGGAAGGAGCAATAGTTGCTGGTGTGAAGTGTAACTCATGGAAGAAGGCTGTTGTGCAAGAACCCAATTGGGGGRAAGATTCTTGGGGTGGTGAAGATTGGTCCCATGGTGTGACTAATATGCAGGTGTCTGTGTGGAAAGGGAAGGAAACTCCAATTGCTGTTTCAAGCAACCGGTGGAACATTCTTGATCCTGATGCACTTCCCACATCAGCCACTACCTCCTTGGTTGGACATGAGGATAAGAGTAACCATGGTATATCAGGTTCTTCCACGACAGATCTGGAACCGGATGCATGTGGCTCAAATTCAATGGGACATCCTAGAAGGGGTCTTGATGAAACAGAGCTGTCTGAAGTAATAGATGACTGGGAGAAAGCTTTTGAATAAGAGAGGATGAGACGTAGGATACAAGGGAAAAGAAGGAAGTAGATATGAGTATGCATTCATAGTAGTAAATGATTTACTTGATTCGGTTATTATATGCTTTGATGGCTTCAATTCTGTTTTTCAAGGTGAATGTACTGTGACAGTTAAGGGAATAAAAGTATACTAATATGGAATTTCGTTGTGTAAATCCAATTATACTAATTTTGGATGAATAATTTCATGGTGCAAGTTTTGGTTCTGAATTTTGATTTGCATTTTGTGTTCTTCCATTTTATTTGTATGTTTGTGAGGCTTATAATTTGATGACTCAGAAAGATTAATGCAAAATTTGGATATACTTCTTCCATTAGGTATGTACTCTGAAGATTCTTATCCAAGTCTATAAATCCATCAGCAGTTAATCATATTTTATCATCATCATTTGATGTGAAATCAAAGCATCATAGAATGAGATAATAGAGAATATCCAATCATATTACAATCATTRTATCACAAGAAATTGGTCAGCAGTAGCGAGGTGTTCATCTTTAAAGGACAAATCAATTACAAGCTGGTCTCCTCCATCCGGAGGCTCACTAAAGTTGAACTTTGATGGATGTAGCATGGGTAATCCAGGATTATCCGGAATGGGGGGGGTGCTTTGAGAAATGAGAAGGGAGATATTTTGGTGCTCTACTCAGGTCCCTTGGGAATTGGGGACTTCATCAGGGCAGAACCTTTAGCTGCTGTACAAGGGGTGCAATTTGCAAACCAGYTGGGVGTACARCACCTAAYAATCGAGGGGGATTCCAAAGTGGTGGTGGGTTGGTTGAAAAATCCTGAAGAGGCTATGTGGCGTTACAAGAATGAAATGAAGAAATTTAGTTGGTTGACAAGGAATATATTGGTCACTGTACAGTGGGTGGGGAGATCAGCAAATACTTTGTCAGATGTGTTAGCTAAGCAAGGGGTAGATAGGGAAGAATTATTTTGGGCTCAGTTGTGATTCTTGCTTTTCTTTTCTAGTTTACTTGTAAGATTCAAGGAGGGGCTGCAGCTCGTGCCTCTCGCTGGGATGTTGTATGAAATCACTCTAAATTTGCTTCTGAACTAATAAATTTATTATCATTCATAAAAAAAAAGGAGTAAGGCCATAACTGGGACATGGTATTCTCTGGATATTCCAAGTCCTTGTGCTTCTCAGACATCATCAGTGAAAGAAATTCAAAAAAAAACATGCAATTGGTAGGAGTCTTAGACAGGGAAATGGCTGTTTGGGGTTCTATTTGTAAGCTTAGGGGCATGTTCCTTGGTGATTTAGCCTTGCTTTCACTTGGTCATTTGCATTCTTCTTCCTTTCTGAAGTATTTTTCTCTGTTATACTAAGTACAACATTTGGGAAGCGGTGCTACTATCTCTCTCACTTATAAAATAATCAACCCAGGCAGATAAGGCTCAAAGAAAAATAAAGAAACAAGAAAGAAAATAGAAAACTAAATTAATGAGCTTGTTCAAAGATCATAAGGAAATAAGAACTAGGCCACAATTGCTGAACCACAGCAAGAGCAGATTTATAAATTAACATGTTCACCAATATCTAGATTCTATTTTTAAGACAAATGTCATGTTGAAAGATCAGTGAAGAGGTACTAATATTTTCTTTTTTTCTTTTTTTTTTCCCTTTACTAACAGGTACCCAGATGATCCCTATGACTGGATATAGGATTTAGACCTAGATAGAAGACAGAACTATCTTGTGGGGGTTGCTCCTGGCACAGAAAGAATCAATACCTCCAAGAACATAGACATAAGAATGCATGAATTCCCACCTGTTAAGGTAATGCAGACTGCTGTTGTTGGCAACAAAGGGAAACTCAGCTACAGGCTAAATCTTGAAGGTTTTCCTTCTAATGCTCGAGCTTATGCATATTTTGCTGAAATTGAAGATTTGGCTAAGAATGACACTCAGAAATTTATTATGCAGCGACTTCGAGTGCCAGGTTATAACAGTATCATAGTAAACATTATTGAGAATTCCAATGGGAGCTATACTCTTTAAGAACCCAGCTATATGAACATATCCCTGGATTTTGTACTGTCATTCTCACTTGTCAAAACTTTAGATTCTACTCGTGGACGACTCCTAAATGCAATTGAAATCAGTAAATATGTTCAGATTGTCCCAAAGACAGAAAGCGAAGATGGTAAATCTATTTAATGATTTCATTTCTGCCTTGTTGCAGTTACTCAGATTATCTCTTCATCATTTCCTGTCAGTTATATATGATCTAATGAGTAATAGTGTTCTCAATTGGATTTTATAACTTTGGATATCCTACGATCCTTGTCCCATGGAAGTGATTGGACTCATGTGGAAGGTGATCCTTGTAATCCAGCTCCATGGAATGGGTTATATGCAGCTCCGGCACACCGCCAAGAATTACTAAGCTGTAAGTCTTTCATACCTTGTCTCGAGAATACAAATTCCAGTTGATGCATTGCCATATTAAATAAATGGCATATTAAGCTATAATATGCACAAATGGTACATTGATATAACATGCTTCCAGAAGCATATTTGTTTATGCAGAGAAAGAGATCAGAGCCAACAGATAATTGCTGTCGCCTCTGAGATGAAAAAGAAAAAAATGTATTCAGTTATAAGATCCTATAATCCAACTCATAGCTGATTGTTAGGATGATCATCCTTTGGTTCATTTGTAATGCTAGAAAAGATCTCCCATGCACGATCCCTCTAATGGTAGTTCATGTCCATTCCCTCCTGCACATGTGTGCCCCATGTATCACTGTTTCTTTGTGCCATGATGAGAATCTACGACAGGAAGGGTTGCCATCAAAGCACCAATTAAAACCAGGCTTCTTTAGACAACTATTGACAAAACCCACTCTTTGATGCACTTGAACATGGAATTGCTTTTTTTGTCTTTTATTAAAATACTTAAAAGGATAGTTCAGTTGACATTACTTGAAAAGTCCAGTCTGTATTGCACTATATTTTAAAGTAGAATGTTTAAAAAAGTCCTGACTTTTAGTGAGTATATAAAATTTACCAATATGAAAAAATAGCTATTACATAATGAACCTGCTATAATAACTGTATAATTGTTCTGCATGCTCAACAGTGCTCTCTCTGAAAAGAATTTGAAGGGAGAAATCCCAAATGAGCTTGAGAACTTGGATAGTTTGATAGTATTGCAAGTGCTGATGAGCTTTAAGTGATTCATTTCTTTTTCTTTTTTGTTTTTCTTTTTATTTTCCATGTCCCAATTGATAATTTCATATCCAGTGCATCACTTTTGGCCTATTAGGTGGCTGGATGGTAACTCCTTCACTGGGCCAATCCCTGACTTAAGTAACCTTGTCAACTTCACTATTGTGTAAGTTCTTTTCGTTTTTCGTTTCTTCTCAGTTCATGATTTGAAATTTCATGTACATATACTCAAAGAGAGGACCATAATTTCTTAGTTATGCGTATCTATCAAAAAAAATTTTCTTAGTTATGCTTGGTTTTCTACGGGAATATGTAGGCATCTGGAGAACAATGGACTGACAGGTACACTGCCTTCTTACCTGGCTGATTTGCCAAGCATAAATGAATTGTATGTAGTATGTTAACTTTTACCATGAGTTAAAAACTTAAGTTTTACTTTTGTCAGCTAAGGCAGTAGTTCTGTTTTGCCATCTGATTTTAAAGTTGACACTCAATACAATAGTTCTGTTTCCTCTCACTAGAATTCCTTTTCTCTAATTATGATTGCCATATTCAAAGTATTATACTTGTACCACTCATAGGTCCATACTAACTTTGAAGTCCTTGTGTGGCAGGTATGTCCAGAACAATTCTTTAAGTGGAGAAATACCGCCGACATTTCTTACTGGAAAAATAGTATTTAAGTAAGTCACCAAGTATATATAATGCTAAACATTTTTTTGATCAATATGTAATGCTAAACACTAAAGACATAGAGAATACATTTTTCATGAAATAGGCCATTTCCCTTCACCTTTCCAACTGGAATAACTCAAACCCTCCTTGTGTTGTAATAAGAATAAACTAATGGTGCTAAATGGCATACATAATTTGCATATGTATATGCATATATGCCAATGTTCTTCATTACTGTTCCTCTTAAACATCACTTTTATAAAACAGGTAGTTGCTTCACAATGGGCTAAATCTTGGAGTTGTCCTCCCAAAAATTCAGAAATGAAATATGATTGACTATTTGGACACTTACCGGGGTTTAATCCACAAAATCATTAGCATCTCAGTTATATAGAATGTTGAGTTTGTTAATTGGATGGATTCAGTGTCAAGTGGGGTAAGAGGAGTTAAAAGTTTCAAAGATTGACTAAAAGAAATAGTTTCAAACAGGAGTGAAAAGCAAACTAAATGATATATCATGTTTTTCATAAACAACTTTCTAAAAAGAATGTATTCTATAGTAGAAATTCCATGGACAAGGACAGAATCCAATTAGAACCTGGATGTATCCCAATAGATGAAAAAAGCACACTGTCACAGCAAGGACAAGTATATTGATGGTAACTACCTAATAATGAAGGTAGTAAGAATAGTTTTATAAACCATAACAATAGTAACAATAGTAAACAATGACAAAAAAAAATGAAATAGCATTGACATAAAGGAATAGTTTTTATATAACAATATTATATTATTGCATTAATGTCATGGTTCTGACAATCTACAATAAAACTTTGCTTAACAGCTATAACTTTCCCATTTGCAGGTATGATAGCAATTCTCAGCTAGTTCAAAGGGGCCACCACAACAGGAATTCTAAATTGATAATTTGGGCTTCAATTGGAGCAGTTTCAGTTTTTGCAGTTCTGCTCCTAGGAAGCTTATTACTGTTATGTAATGCTCCAGGAAAGTCATATCAGGAGAAGAGTAATAACAGATGTATATTTTCAATACTTTCCTCTTTACTTTGTCAAAAATAAGCCATCATTTTCCATGCCCATGCATAGGGTATATGTGATCAATATTGCATCTCAACATTTTACTTTCTTCTGCTCATTAGGTAATTCTGCACATGTAATATCAAAGCGTTCATCTTCCTACTCTCTTTTTCATGGTGGATCCCTGATGGATGAAGCTCTAGATATGGCTTACTATATCACACTCTCAGATATAGAAGAAGCTACTCAAAATTTTTCAAAGAAAATTGGGAAAGGAAGTTTTGGACCTGTCTATTATGGCAAGATGAAAGATGGAAAAGAAGTGGAAGTTAAGATCTTGGCTGATGCATCTAGCCATGGGAACCACCAGTTTGTCAATGAGGTAAACCTGTTTATTTCATTATTCCCTTCCATATGCTTGATCTGTACTTGGATTGCATGCCAAAACTCTCACAGTTCCTCATACAACCTCCATACATGCCTAACAATGTTTTTCCACTCCATTATCTCCAAAGCCATTTCTCTAGTAGTTCGTGATTCATCCTTCTCAAAGATCAAATACCTGTACCAAAACTAAATTTTATTGGATTGTGACGGTGGATATAGTTTTGGTTGGCCAGAACTCAAGTGGGTTTTCTGCATTAATTTTTTGGTTTGTGGGCCATCCTCAATCCTGATTGCCAACTGTTGTAAAGGACCAGAAGGGGCCATTACCCAATGTTGGTCCTGTTTATCTTGGCTCTGGGGAGTAGTGGACTGGATATGGACCTAACTTTTGGCATTTTTTTGCACAAAGTGGCCATCTTAGATTTGATGGTGCAAGTTGGAAACTAGTACCCTAAATCTAGGGTTTGTATGAGAAAGAAAGAAAGAGAGAAAGAAGTAGAGGAATGTGTCAAGTGGTGTATTGTTGCTACTGTTCACACCCTCAAAAGGCACTTTATATTTTGAAACAAGAAATTACAAATAGGTCCCTACTTGGGCGCCCAAATACAAAGAGTACAAAGGGAAGAGGTAAAGACTTAAAAACCCTTGCCTAAACTTTCTCAAAACTCCCCCTCAAGTTGAGCATATATGTCAATCATGCCCAGCTTGGCAAGGTTCTTAGAAAACTTTGGGTGGTGAACACCTTTAGTGAGGCAATCGGCTTGTTGGCCTTCTGATCTTACAAAAGGAAGGCAAATCTCTTCACTAGCAATTTTTCTCTAGTAAAGTGTCTGTCCACCTCAATATCCTTTATACGATCATGTTGAACAGGATTTTGGACAATGTTTATGGCTGCTTGATTGTCACAATATAGTCTCATTGGGATATCCGCTTGGATGACCGTCTCGGCCAATAAGGTCTTCAACTAGAGTAGTTCAGACACTCCATGAGCCATTGCCCAGTATTCTTTTTTTGAAAAAAGGTTAACTTTATTCGAGAAAAAGAAGAGGTACATGAGGAGATGTACACAACATTTAGACACTCAGAAAGTTACATAGGTAGAAAACTATCACTAAATAAGTAATCCCTGTAAGCGCCAGATTTAGCTAGATTGTCAGCTTCAGAGTTTAGCTCCCTCGGAATCCAGATACATGTGAGCATTCAAGGAGAAGAGGATGTCTCTCGCTTCATCCAAGTGGTGAGCTATGGCCCAAGGCCCACTGTCAGGATTAGAAAGCCAATTAATGGTGTTGGCTGAATCTCCTTTAATGGTAAGATTTAATAAACCCAGGTCTTTTGCAATCCTGATGCCGGTTAAAACTGCCATGACTTCAGCCTTTGTTGAGGAGGCTATCCCGATCGGCCCACTAAGAACCCAACTAATAATACCATCTCTTCTTCGAATTACACCTCCAATACCCGCTGCACCTGGGTTTCCAAAACCAGTCCCATTAAATTACAAGGTCGTCTCTCCTTCCTCATTAGATCTGAAACTACGGGAAGTGTTGAGGTGTATGTGATTAGAGTGAAGAAAATTTCCGGTGTTTTTTTGGAGGTCATCTAATGTGACACCTTTGAAATAAATTGAGTTGGAAGTCCACAAGAAGCATCTGTAACAGATTAGAGAAATCATCTAATGTGACACCTTTGGAGGTCATCTAATGTGACACCTTTGAAATAAATTGAGTTGGAAGTCCACAAGAAGCATCCTTAACAGATTAGAGAAATCAGCTCTTCATAGTTTTTTGTTTTGTTGGTAAAAACCCGGTTGTTTCTCTCTTCCTAAATGCTCCAGAAAATAGCATGTGCAACAGATTGCCATAAAGTTGTCCCTCTTTTGCTTAGTCCTCTTCCTGACCATTGCCCTAAGCATTTGACCACATTTTCTAGGAAAACCCAACTGTATAATCTGTATTTAAATATTGTTAAAAAAAATTACAAAATTTTCTAGTTTCCTCACAGTGAAGCAGGATGTGGTTGGTAAGCTGGCCTCCCATACACACACAAAAAAAAAAAGAAAACAGACCCTGGAAGGGATATGAGCACACTAAATTCTCTTGTAGGGGTACTGATCAGTAGTTTGTTCTTCCCTAACTAAAGCCTTGAAGCAAGATTTGGTTGAAAACTTATCAGATGGGTGAAGGGTCCACACACGAAGGCCAGGGGAATTTTGGGAGAGGTATACCTCTCTCAGGGGTTACCCCACCAAAGGTCAGTCCAAAACTTAATTTTATTGCCCTTTCATACCTTATACCTGATAAAGGAGATCAACAAATTGTAAGTCGAGATTATACCTTTCCAAGGGTGGGTGTCTTTGACCCGATTCAAGTGAAGCTTGCTATCCCAACCATTGGCGTGCTTCCCGTATTTGCTAGTGATTACAGCAGTCCATAGCGCACTTGGTTCTAGAGGGAATTGCCACAACCATTTACTGAGAAGAGTTGTGTTTCTTTCTTTCAAGTGGCCTACTCCCAACCCACCACCCTCCTTTGGTTTGCTAACCTAAGACCACTTCACAAGGTGAGATCCCATTTCCCCACCTCCTTCCCAAATAAAGTTTCTCTAAAGCTTTTCTAACTGAATGGCTATCTTGTTAGGCAAGCGGAAAATAGAAAGGTAGTAGGTGGGAAGGTTTGCCAAAGATGCTCTAATGAGAGTGAGGGCCTGTTCGTTTGCTCTGAAGTTTGACACCTGAAAGTGCAATAATTACATTAATAGGTATGTTGGTATTGGTGAACTTTTCTTTCCTCTAATCTCTGAATGCAGAGAATGTTGTTGTGAACTCTGAATTCTGAATTTTGAAAATTATTAAATATCCATTTTGACCCCATATATTAGAATTTTTGTTTGACTTTTTGAGGGTATCATTGGAAAACAAAAAGTTTTATGATTGCACTTTAAGGATAAGAGATAAGAGGAAACGAACAACCATTTTTCTCTTAAAGTTAAAAGATTCCTCTTAAGACATAAGAGTTAAGAGGAAACGAACAGGCCCTAAGTCTCCCCCCTTTGGGCAGGTAGTTCCTTTTCCATGTGGCTAACTTCTTCTCACATTTTTCTAGTATTGGTTCCCAAAAACTTTGATTTCTTGGATTCCCTCCAAGAGGCATCCCCAAATAGGAAAAGGGGAGATTCTCTACTTTGCATCCCAAGATCTCTGTGAAAGTATTAAAGGAGTGTGCACTAGCTAGATTTAGTCCAACGATACTACTCTTAGAGAAGTTGACTTAAAGTCCAGAAATCTATTCAAAGCAGGTGATGACCCTTTTCAGATTTGACACAATTTCTTCGTCAACCTCTAGGAAAAGGATAGTGTCATCGGCAAATTGGAGGTGAGAAATCTGAGTGGCTTCCCGTCTGACTTCAAAACCTCTCAATAGTCTTAGAGAAATAGCCTTATTCACCAGTTGGCTAAAAATTTCTGTGACTAGAGTAAAAAGCAATGGGGAGAGGGGGCAGCCTTGTCTTAGACCTTTTGGTTACCCATTAAGTAGTACTGAGAACCAGGTGGAGCTTATACATCCCTCAACCCACTGAATCCACTAATTTCCAAACCCCGTTAGTCTCATGGTTTCCATGAGACACTCCTAGTCTACTTTGTCATATGCTTTTTCCAAATCGAGTTTCACAATCACACCTGGTTTGCCATTCAACTTCCTCTCTTCTACGCATTCGTTTGCTATTAATATGCTGTCAACAATTTGTTGCCCTTTGACGAATGCAAATTGATTTGGGGAGATGATTTCACCTAAAACTTTCTTTAATCTTTCAGCTAGAACCTTTGCTAAAATTTTGTACATACTCCCAATCAAGATGATAGGTATAAAATCTTTTGCTTCTAAAGAACCCTTTCTCTTGGGAATCAAGCATATGAAATTAGAGTTGTTTCCTTTGTTGATAATGGCTGAATGATAGAAATCATTAAACACCCGTATAAAATTTGATCTGATAATGCTCCAACAAATCTGATAAAAGCAAATTGGGAAACCATCAGGGCCAGGGGCTCTATCTCCATCCATGCTAAAAACTGCATCCGTCACTTCTTGTTCTTGAAACTCTCTTTCTAACCACGATCTGTTCTCCTCCGACAGTGTGAGCCCTTCCCAAAGGCTTAAAGTGAGTTCTCTGTTTTCTTTCTTTGAGTAAAGGTCTTTGAAGAAGTATAAGAAAGCTTCAGAGATTTCCTCAGGGTCCTCCAGTTCTCGTTGCTTGACTTTTAATTTTGTTATAAGATTTCTTTTCTTCCTACCAGATGCATATATGTGAAAGAACCTGGAGTTATTGTCCCCCCCCTTTAACCATCTAGCCCTAGATCTTTGTCTCAAGTAAACTTTTTCTTTCCTTACCACATTTTCCCATTCTTTTCTTAGCCCAAATCATCTCCTTTCATTCTCATCTAGATGACCAATCTGCTCCTTCAGGTCTAAATCTCCAACTCAGATAGGAGTGCTGATTTCTCTTCCTTGAAGGCTTTAAATTCCTCTTTGGCCCACCCTTTTAATTTCCTTTTTACAAATTTTAATTTTTCCCAGAATCTGTAACCTGGCCAACCTTCTGTCTTACATTCCTCCCACCACGAGGCAAGCTTTTTGCAGAAGTCTTTGTGTTTTGTCCAAAATTTTTCCAACCTAAAAGGGGTTTTCCCTCTAACCACCTAATTTGTACTTACGGTGATAGGCCAGTGATTAGAAGTACAATGGGAGCGGATCTCCTGAAAAGTTAGGGGGTATTGGGCTTCCCAATCTGAAGTAATTAAAAATCTGTCAAGCCTACAACTTAAGGCATTTTCTTGCATGTTCGACCAGGTAAAATTACCATTCCTTAGGGGGAGGTCGTGTAGCCTGTGTCTGGAAATGAAGTTGGAGAACTCCCTCATGCTTCAATCTACCTTCTTCCCATTGGAGTGTTCTTGACTGAATCTCGTGACATTGAAGTCTCCTCTCACACAGTAGGGAA